CAGCTCTGCCAGAATGGACTTCCCATCCCATAGTCCACAGCTTTGCTGGCTGGGGGGCTCCTCTGGCTGGGGATCAGCTTCTGGGCCTGCTGGGAGCCGGCGCTGGGCAGCTTGTTCAGGTTTGTCACGGATGGAGAGATAAAGAGATGCACTTAGCTCTTAAGAGAGAAGGAACAATGTGTTTATCGATAGAAAGCAGGGAGTTTAACGAAGTTTGATAATAAATGCGACAGTGATTGACAAGGTTCGATGGTAAGGTACGTGTGATTTTTTAGTGCATAGAGGACAAAGTCAGATAAAGCTGTCAGGGAGACCTTCCCATGGATTCACAAGGGTCAGAAAGGACCCCCCTGCTCTCTAAACCCTTCTCTAAACTTATCTGTATCCCCAAAATCAATGTGAGGCATATGCAGACATCATGAGCATCACGAACCATCACTGATGGCAGAGAAAGTGCTGGAGGAAGGGCATGGCACGATGGGCCCTGGGCACACATGGTGTATTAGACAGGCATGCTTGGCGGTGACAGGCACGGTGTATTGGACAGGCACGGTGTATTGGACAGGCACAGCGTATTGGACAAGCACACGTGGTGGTGACAAACATGGTGTATTGGACAGGCACGCATGGCCGTGACAGGCATGGCGTATTGAACAGGCACACGTGGCCTGTGGCATCACCAGGACACGCTGCAATGCCTGCCAGCCAGGCTGAGCCTCTCTGCATCCCTCCCCATGGCTCTGCCCTTGTGCAAACTGTCCCGACAGCTGGCCACAACAGTGAGTCATGACAGGGAGTCATGATGGTGGCAGCTGTGCCAGGCCAAACCCAGCACAACTGGCCCATGGCCTGCGAGCGGGGATCCCACCTGCTGGGATGGTGGTGGGAACCATCAACCATGGTGCCCTAGGGGCTGTGGGGATGGGGTCTGCACAGGTGCTTGCCAGTCCCAGAGGAACAATCCCCCCAGCATTAGCAAGGGGGGATCCCTGAAAATGAGGGGGCTGAGACAGCAGGGATGGTGCTGGTGGCACATTAACTGGGCGAGGAGGCGGCTGGGGCAGAGTCCGGGCTGGTGGGGGGAGCCATGGGGTCAGGGTCCACAGGAACGCTGGACACTGCTGGCACAGGATGCACTGTGCTGCAGTGCTGGACGCTGCTCCTCTCCTGTGGGCTCAGCTCCTGAGGGGGACAAGGCGCGCCATGGCCACGGGTCTGCTCTGTGTACCCCCACCCCAGGCACTGCTGCGGCCCCTGGCCATGCCCGAGAGGCTGCTGCTGGGGCCAGGGCCCAGCAACATTCCTCCCCGCATCCTGGCTGCGAGCGGCCGGCAGATCCTGAGCCACATGCACCCTGAGGTGCTGCAGGTGAGCAGCCCCAAGCCCAGCATTCCTCTCCCCCTCCTCTCCCTTGCTTCCCCCGAGGGGCCAGGGTGGCTCTGCCAGGACAAGGAGGGTGATAGCGGATGGGTCCCACCGCCCCAGGGG